GATGTTATGTTTTCTCACTCCTCCTAACTCTGTCTTAGGTCTTGACAGATCTGTTTAGTAGTGTGTTGTCACAAGTGAAAGAGGAGCTTTTCATCTCTGTTTCGTTCCTTCAGGTTTGTCCTTCTATTTAACAGCATCACCATAAATCATATTGGATGCAATATAGTGAAAGATAACATCTGATGTCTGTCTCTGTCAGTTTTATCCAGACGGCAGTGCTGTGGATCTTCTGAGCCCCAACAGAGAGACTCTAAAACGTGTGGCACACCCCGTCCTTGGAAGGTGATTCTAGATTACTACTGATCAAGATAAACACAGAACACATAGTACACTTCACACTTTTGGTATTGCTTCCATTTTTCACAGGTTTTAATTAAAGATCTAAATCCAAAAAATACTAAATATTTTCAAAACCTGTCTTAGTGAAACTAAGACACTTCGTCTTTTCCAAAATAATCCACCATACATGTAATTATATATGTATTTTGTGATTGTACAATTGTGAGTGAAATAAGTATCTTACGCTCATTTTGTAATTGTGTTTGTTGTTTATTTTCCATGTTCTTACACTTGTACATTTAACCTTTGAACATATTTGTCTTTTGTCCTCAGTCTCATAGGAGGTTTATGTGAGGTGTGTGTGTGTTCAGCAGAAGAAGCCTACACTCTGTATGAAACATGCAGGGACACACTGAAGGCCAATGCAGGCTCCATTTCCAGCAGGTAAAGCACAGGTTAAATACGTCTCAATCCATTAGTTAAATTGCTTTGAATGGATTATTCATCCCATGAGTGATTGGATGGTCATGGAGCAGTTGTATGTTTATCTTCCTCATCAGGTTGTGGTTCATGGTATTGTCTCTACATGTTTGTGTTGCGTTCTTCCCTCAGATGTAGTTCCCTGTTCTCTGTAGCTGTTGAGTGGAAACTCCATCCAGAAGAGGTGGAGTCAGAGGTTTGCCGCAGCAGACTGCAGCTGTTCAGCCTGGCAGGAGGAGCGAGCAGGACGGACCTCAGAGGGTCAGTCATACACTCACATACAGTACAGTGGGCTATCAATGACATGGACCAGAGACACTTTAAATGATACTCAGCTTTGTCTAAATGTTTTTGAGATGTCCATAGTTGGTGATCATGGCCAATTCAAGAGCTCGAAGAAAGTGGCAAAGCAAGTCATAATGAAGGACAACAAAAGAAAAAGCTGATTACATTATATACGATATATTGATTCATAATCTCTGAATTCTATTCAGCTGCTCTTGTTTCAGCATCCTGGTATTGTGCATGCTAGATCTTTGTCACACTGTCTTGGTTTACAGGGATGTATTAATAGAACAAATCCAATGTTAATGCATGACAAGTCAAAATATCTGCTGTGACAAAGCAATATTAATCAAGTCAAATCAACAATGTCATTTGTTTTCTATGTAAACAGAGTTACAGTATGTTCAATGTCACAAAAGACTTCTTTCATGAAAGTCCTCCTTTCTTACATTAAACAAATATGTCCAGAGTCTGCCCACTGGTGAAGGTGGTGGAGGAAACCCAAAGTGAAGCCACAGCTAGTGACAAGATCCTTCCCTCCCTCCTAAATGATGCGCTAACAGGAAACAGCAGGACGGTGCTCGTCTACTGTCTCCACCCTCAGGGTAAGTGCTGCTCTGGGACCAACCCACCCATAATCAGAGGAGGAATCAGTACATTTACTCAAGTACTGTACCTCAGGACAATTCTGAGACACTTTTACACTACTTACTTTTTAATTTGATGCTACTTTGTACTTTTACTCCACTACATTATCAGAAGGATATATTGTCGAACAACTCGATCTTTTATGACTATACTAGTTACTTTTCAGATTACATTTTAAACACCTATAAAGTGTTTATAAACTACAATGCATACAGTAAATTGGACTACCCAACAGTATTTAAAGCTAAAACAAATAGATCTTGCAGCCAGTTGCAATGTAAGAATGCCTATTGCATACTACTGGATAAGATTTAATATAAATTATATTCTAATGTTATAACATATATTGATGTAACTTTAATTAATGTCTTGATTATTTATTAATTTTTTCAGTTGTGCTATTAGTACTTTTACTGAAGTATCTCATCACTTCTTCCACCAATGCAATTCTCATTGCATAGAAATAACCCTCTCTCTTTACCCATCAGGTGTTTTAGATGATGAAACCCCCTCCGCTTTAGCTTTGGCCCAGACAGTAAGAAGTTTGGTAACTAAGGCCTTTGTTAACCGCTGGTGTCCAAGGGCAACAGAGCAAATGATCAGAGACAGCATCGTGGATCAGAGAGCCGTCATGATGTCACAGGGGGAAAATGACGTTCACAACACCATCAGGCTAGCTGAGCTGACCCACAATCTGCAGGTAATACACAAGAGAAGCTTATAATAAAATGGGGCTTCTCACCTAGTTCATGGCTGAAATAATAATATTTAAATAAATAAAACTGTGTGTGGTATACAAATTTTTTGATATTTCTTATACGCCTTTTATTTTAATTGTAATTGTTGTTGTGTAGTATATTTTAGTAAAATGCACATCATTTTACATACATATTCCTTTACTATTCCTTCATCCTTATATAAATATATTTATTGTATATTGGGGACAAGATTAACACAAACACACTTTGATGCTCACTGACAGATTGTGAAAGATCAGTCCTGGGAGAAGAGAAGGGAAGAGTCAAAGAAAATAAAAGACAAAACACAGGTTCCTATTGTTTACATATCCCCACAAGTTTAACATATATTTATTAAGCAGATGATGTGTTCATAACCCGAGTTTTGCATTCATTTGACAGAGTTGTCGAACCCAGAGTATCCATTTGCACAGCAGAGATAGTAGAGAAAGTACGAACAACATGAAACATTTACAAACCCAACTGAAACAAGAAATGGAAAAACATATCAGAGGTAATTTGCTGATTTATTAAAACGGTTTGTATACAAGATCATCGTTCATGTTTTTTACGTGTGTTTCTTAAATCCACAGAGGGTAAAGGGAATGTGGAGAAAGTGCTCGAGAGAGTGGCAAGAATCCAGCAGCTGAGAGAGGCTCTGAGAGAGGAGACACTGAAGAACGGGGCCTCGACTGAGAAATCTGACCTCTGTCAACAAGTAATGCATTCCATCCATTAAACATGATATTTTTCGCCTGCACATCTGATTAGATACATTGTTTACAAGGTTTTGTGAATACAGCATTAAACATATTAACACGATTTATGTGTGCGAGATTTGGCAGCACACACTAATTTATTTTTGCCAATTTGAGTCTGAGTTGGAGTACAGCAAAGCACAGGAACGGAGGACACAACTTAAAGAGGACCACGGGAGATTAATTCAGGAGGAGGTGGAGACGATGGAGAGAGACTTGGCTCAGGAACAGCTACCGGTGAGATAATGAGATTCACTGCTGCTTAATATTATTCAGAAAGTGATCTATCTTGGCTGAGGATGCTGAGTCAGTTTAAATTAATGCAAGGCTGGATTTATTGTGGGCAGGGTAAAACCACAGCATTGGCAACTTAATGCTGTTATTCCCCTGCATTTTTTATGGTTTCATCCATTCCTCCAGACAGAAGGCCCCCAGAGAGAGCTGCTGGTGCTGAGCAGAGAGAGGAGGGTCCTAGTGCTGCAGATGGAGGCCCTGCGCGACGAGGCCCAGCAGGCTGAGACCGACCTGCAGAATCTATATCAGAAACACCAAACAGAGATGCACTGTCTCAGAGAAGAGAGCCTGCAGGTCTGTTGTTTCAGTGAGAGGACACTGGATCAACCAATGTCACAGTTTCATTTCACGAGTACTAGTTTTAACCAGTGTTTTATTACCTAGATTATAGGGGGTTCTCAAACAAAGGCCTGATGTGTATTATACCGCTTATGGTATGAGCGGTATTAAGTACGTAGAAATCTTAAGAATTATGTAGTTTGTACACATTTTTGTTAAGTAGCTCACAAATTATTTAAAGGTCACCTATTATGCAAAATGCACTTTTTGATGTCTTTTATACATAAATATGTGTCCCCCGTGTGTCAGGAGACTCGCAAAGTGTCCGAAAATAAAACCCTCTCTCTTTTCCTCCTTACCGACATCTCTAAAAACGGAGATGATCCAGATTTGCTGCGGTCATGACGACATTACTCACTTAATAGAAACAATGCGCTACCTTTTTTGGAAGTAATATGGTCTGTGTTTACATTAGAAAGCATCGCTAACACTCAGAGCTAACGCTGTACTGGAGAGAGTATGTGTAAAAAAAAGTCCTGTAATATATGCCTAAAAATAGTATAATAGGAGAGCTTTAAGTCAGTGAAAAAAAGACCAATTATTTGTTTTCTGAGTAATCTTGCCTGAAAACTTTTATTGTAGTGTTTCACTTTTTGGTTAACTCCTATGTTCCCTACGGATAAGAAAAAGTCGATTTATAGGATTTAGGTGTCCAGGTGGTTTTTACTTAAAATAATATTCCTCTATTATTAAAGATTTATATAAAAAATATCCAATACAGTAGCATACGTTCCTGTGTTCACTTTCTGACTGCTCTGCAGGTGTTCAGAGTGTTTCGTCAGGTGTGTGAGGAGCAGAGGAGGATGTCTGAGGACAGGTACCGGAGCGTGCTGCTGGAGGCGGTGCAGGACGCCGTCTACCTGTCGGCCCAGAACCAGCAGCTGCAGGCGGACAACAGACAGCTCCGTAAAGGTCAGTGTGTGTAGGACTACCTGCGGCTACATTATAGATAGAATTACCCCAACATCGCTCTCATAAAATGTGTCAGAATGCCAAGACATTGTTTCCCACCACCATTCAAAATATATTTTTCTTTTACAGCACTCGGAGAGTTAAAGGATACTCTAGCTGTGCGAGGTGATCCTACTGCTGAACTGTCATCACAACTACAATAAATATATGAATGAAATGTCTTTGAATCTGTGTGCTTAATATGAAATTGGAAAAAATACATCATTTGTTGAAACAATGTTATTTATTAACACACTTTATAACACCAGACATTATCTTTGACAGTGTTCTGGCCAGAGAACGAAATACAAATAGACAAAGCAGCACTCTTCAGAAATGTTGAACTGAACATATTATACCCCAAACTTGCATTATTATTTCTTCAATGGACTTACATCTGTACAACATATTGATACATTTTAAAATATGATGCAAACTGTGGAATAAGAGCTCAGCTGAAATACATGTTCACTTATTTGGTTTATGGTTATGTGTTGGATTCTGGATTTCAGAAGGCAGATAGATATAAGGCAGAAAACAAATCCCATCTGGAAAACTAGCAGGTACAGCTGGACTGTCATGAGTTCAATGAGCCTCGTGGTTCAGTTATTTACTATCTGTAGTAAAGGTAAGCTGCCAGTCCAGTCATAGAAACAGGTAGGAGGAAGAAAGGCGTGAGCTGCAGCCCTAACATGGCCCAAGACAGCAGAGCATTCACCAGCATGGAGCAGGAAATGACGAACAGTCTGGTGATCCCGCTGCCGTGCTTCAGCACCACAGACATGAGGAGACCGTTGGCTGCCTGCCCCGCTATAATAACCCAAACCACCCCCGAGTATCCCTCCAGAAAGCTCTTCTCCCCTGTTATAAAGGAGAAGGAGGAGAGCCCGTTGATGGCCACACCGAACACATAGAGGTAGATATTCTGCAGGCTGAGGGGCAGCTTCTGGCTCTTCAGGACCCTCTCTGTGTAAACTGCTGCCAGCCCTGAAACACAGCAGTACACCAGCACAAGGAAAAGCCCCCAAGCTGTGATATGAATCCTGGGACCTTCCTCCGCTTCAACCCTCACGGGGTCTCCTAGATCCAGACTGCTGTAGCTGTGGCACACCCCTGCGCACATGAGAAGCCCCAGAGCTAACCACTGAGAAGGACGGAGCCTCTTGCCCAGGCAGAAGGAGTACAGCAGGGCGGTGGAGGCAATTTTCAGGTTAGAAAGGACCTGGTATGAGCTTGGGTCCATGTAGGCCTGCATGAGAACCACTAGGTTGTTGTTGAGGGCGTAGAGGAGGGCAGGGACTGCGTAGGGGGCCACGCGGAGGAGAGGTGGAGGAGCTTGTAAGGCGGATGTACCCTCGGTTAGAACAAGAGAGGCCAGAGAAACCAGGAGTTTGGATAGTTCAATCATGAAAACACACGATGATGGGTTGAAAGGGACTTGACCATTCACCTTGGTGAGGGTGATGAGTGGGGCATGAGAGCCATAGATAAGGACCATCAGCCCAAAGAGGACCCCCCACAGAACCCTTTTCACCCACTGTCTCCTGAGCCTGTCTGGGGATCTGGTCCCAAAATTCTGGACCGCAATCATCCTTTATGACTCAAAATAAACTCTTAACTTTAACTAATCTGAATAGTAGCTATAGTGCAAAAATAAATAAATAACTATAATTCTCAACCATTTCAATTTCTATTACAAAATACTTAGAAGCTCTTTGTTTTGTAATACTTTGTGTATATATTTTAAACTGAACAATAAGGGCGTAGCAGACACTTGGAGGAATTACTGCATGTTTTGCACATGACCAATTAAAATTCTAACATGCCTAGATAACTGCTCCAGGCAGCAGGCCTTTTTTATAATCAGATGGACCAAGCACTCTTGAAATACATAGTCCTCCATTTTGTGCCAACATCAAACATACACAAGCTGAAACTAAATGGCAGTAATTAACTGAACCTGAAACAAAATGCTAATAAAAACTGCAGTCTTTTGCTTTGAGTCCCCAATACAATTCCAGTTATGTCATTATATTCAAGTTTACGTTAAGGCTGATCCGTCACAAGACTCCGTCAAGGCAGCAGCTGCATCTCTTTTTCTTGTTATTTCACTGACCAAACTAACAGTCAGCCCAAATTATTTTGGTCCTTTCTTCAAGCTGTTTATATAGTCTTTCACCGTTCGTTCAATGTTGGGCACTGGATAGTTCTGTGCCGCGTATATACCAGTGGCTGTACCCACTAGTAGTCCCAGGAAGGCAGAGGAACGTAGCTTGGCCACCGCATAGCCGGCCAGAAAGCCCTTCAGAAATGGTGATCCCAACACTGAGCCTCCCTACAAGTGGAAGAAAATATTAGCATCAGAAATGCCATACAGAATATTTAACACATTGATGAGTAGGAAGTAGGGGAATTAATTAAGCACAATAAAAGGATATAGTCAAAGATAGCTATACAAAAGAGGGGATATTTAAGGAAGTCATAAGACAAAACAAATCAAATAAACTCAATGCTTTTTAACTGCATTAACACAAAAGGTGAATGAGGGACTAACAACCAGCTCACAAAAAGGCAAATTTGTATTTATTAACCATGGGAATTAAATCGACTAAATATTTAAAATGGTGTGGTCGCATTTAAGATAAGATGGACCTTTGTTGAGTCCCGTAGGGAAATTCAGGTGTTATAGCAGCAACCGAATAAAAGAGAAACACAGGCAGCACACATAGGAATATACACAGAGATATGAAGATAATAATAAAATAAGAGAGAATTAACAAAAATAGTTCAACTCTGATCAGGTCTGATCATCTGATCATATGTGAGCAAGGCTAAATATACATTTAACTGTTCAGGTACCAGTGTGGGTGGACGTCGTTCAGTGCAGGTTATTTATCTCACCGGAGGGATTCCTAGTGTCACTTCGTTCTCCACTCGCCTCTGGATTTCCTCCAACTGACTTTTGAGCTGCGTCAGATCTTTCAACTGTTTCAGGGGATCCTAAAATAAAAGTAATGCATCACAATTTTATAAGAAAACCGTGTAACAAATACAATTGAAAGTTAATGTAACTGAGGATAACAAACGTTGGTGTAAAACTGAGCCTATAGTTATGGTTGCTGGCATATAAACCATGCAAACTTCTGTAACAAAACTGTTCCTTTTGTCGAAGTTTGATGGTTTGCTACCGTTAATGGCTACCTAATTTATAACCGGCTCAAGGATAGATTCAGTTAATTTACAAGCGACCATCATCCTTGAAATGTAATTTCACACCGCCAATTGCTGCTGAACATAACATGTTTCTCGCCCTCCTCTTGCAGATGCAGTCACCTAAAGAAACACTTTAAAATAATACATTTGAAGCAAGAACACAGAACTCACTCACCTTGTCACCCGCCATATTTGCTCATTAGGGTGATCAGTGATCGACTCATAGGCCTGGGACACTTTACGTTCGATTAGTTTGGTCTGGGTTAAAGTGTTTGTAGATTTTTGCCATTGTTGTATTGGCAATTTGGGCTTTTAGGATATAGGACGGCGCCGTTGGTAGTTAGAAACCTATGATTGAAGCAGTTGATGGAGACATATAACCGCATATAACCCGAAAACACAACCGCCGACAACTCTGAGGAAAACGGCTGAGCTTTCATCCAATCACAAAGGTTCATGTAAGTAACGAGCCAATCACAGCATAGAAGGGCGGGACTTGAGGCAAAACCGGTAGGGGAGGGGAAATAATGCCAATTGGACCATCATGGGACGCACAAGTTACTTTCACGTGTTAAAAACGTCTTCCGTGATTGGCCCGCAGCTGTTTATTATGGCATTTGATTGGTTGAGGACCATAGCAACAAATCGCCATGTTTTTTACAAGTCGACGAGAAACGAAAAATACTTAACAGACATTTATGTATCGCCAATCCTTAATGTAATATAAAGTAAAGCCTGGTGTTGGCATTACTTACCTTCAGGACAATGCCTGACTGTGTCGGCGACTTCTAAAGGTGTTTGTAGAGCTCCGAGCCATCGTAGGTAAGGCTTCAATAAGAAGGCATTTCATTGGCTAACTCGCTGGCTGTGCATGCAGTATAAGCACACGCCATTAAACCCACTTTTAAGCAGGGAAGGACCATTGATTTTAACATGTTAGCACTCTGTTTAGACTCTCTCAGAGCCTCATGCATGACCCGATTTTATTTTTTACTAAGACACCGTTGTGCTATATTTTCTCTGCATGAAGTACCAGCCCGTAGTTATTCTCTACCACTGTGTGGCTTTTATTAGACACAGGATCTATCTTTTCCTCTGACTCATCAGCTGAGATATTCAACTATAATAAACTGCAGTAAATCAGTGCTGTCATTTAATTGCAGAGGAGTGATGCTGCAGAATCATGTCTCAGTTGAAACATTCTAGGGTCTACAAAGTAGGGCGTTAGCATATATGGATGGCATATTATGCAAAGCAATATGTATTTAATAAACATTACTTCAGCCAAAATGCATGCAGTCTGATACAACATCTGATAAAACTCTACATTTTGTGAATGTTTAAACATGAACAGCCAACTAATCTCATACTGTTTTCTACTTGGCCCTTAGCCTTTTGGAGTTCATGGAGAAAGTGGGGGTGTTTGAGGTTGTGAAAGTGACTGAGGAGGTGGAGAGCTTCTACAGCCAAATAAAGATGACAACCCCAAAAAAGAGGAAAAGCAAAGGTCATGAAGACAGTGTTGAGAAATCTAAGAAACCCAGGTAATATCCATACTAGCTCAAATGACTTTCACACACAGATGTTACAATATCTTGGAAAAAACATTATAGACGTGTTTAAAGCCTCTAGAAAGAGAGAAATGACTCCTACATTTGCTTGTTCTGATTGTACTTGTACTCTGTCTGTCTCTTAGGTCTGCCTTTCTTCTATACTTCTTTGATGTTCATCAGATTATGCAACAGGAAATCCCTAATCTACCACAATCAGAGATTAACAAAAGAATCAGTGAGAGCTGGAAAAGGCTCAGCGTTGCCGAGAAAGGTTACTATCTGGAGAAGGCCAAGTCTGAGAAGGAGGGCGTAGATACAGTAAGCTACTTCCTCAACTGTTTTACATAAAAGGCCTAATAACACTAACAATTTTCGAGCTGTGTAAAATATATATTCTTTCCATGGTCAAATATTCCTACTGCTTTTATTTGATGTTTACTGATCACCTATCGGTAAACATGGTTGTTGCCAAGTGCAACTCTAACTTAAAAGTATAGCGGCCATTGATCATCTTTATTTTCAAAAAGTGCAAAACAAGTTGCTGAAAAGTCTATAATAACTGATTTGATAGCTGATTTTATTACTGATATTATTACTGATTTAATTTGTAATAAACACATTTCACTTGTGCAAGCTAAACTAGTGTTGGAATGAAGTGGCCCTTTTAAATGAAGTACCACAGCAGAGATAAAACAGTTTTTTCCTGCTAATATAGTGTTGTCTTAGATATCGCAGAGTGATTCTCTGGACAGCCATGAACAATATTCTTTATTCTGCTTTTCCCTCAGTCGCCTCCCAGTCCCTCCAAAGACTTGCCAGGCTTCCGCAAAATCCTCCCCAGAGGCAGTTACTTTCTCCTGGCTAAAGGCGGCTCCTCAAATCAGCAGCTGGGCTCTCAGGACCCTCATGTGGAGGGAACTCTCACCCAGGAGACCCAGCCCACACCTCTTGTGTTGGCCGGTGAGGTGGAGCTTTGTGAGCACGCCATTGTTGTCGACAACATTGTAGAGGAAACTGAAGTATCGTCTAATCTCTCCGACACCCAAGGGATCCCACCCTGCTCTTCTTCCTCTGTTTCATGCCAAGCTCTGGCCTCCACAGACGAACATGTCTCCCAGGTCTCTGCTGGCCTCTCAGCAAACGGGTTCACGCTGAAAGGAAATGAGACAACACTTGCTGCTAGTGGTTACAGTGGGGCCATGGTGCAGCAGGTACAGGGGGAAACTACCCCGTTGGTTGCCATCATACCCTTCCAGGTGAGACTTAAATGTCCTTCTTCCAATTAGCTAAATTAGCTTAATTTATTAAAGAATTATTAGGGCTTTTAATCACAGAGAAGTGATTTTACTAATGCACTGAAGTGATTTGTCCATCACTTCAGAACCTGCTAGAGCCCAAATCTTTGCCAAGTGTTGGCTCCGTGGGCCCAGTGAACAGAGACCCAAGTGCCAATCCTTGCTATAAAATGGTAAGCACCCTCATTATTCATCAATCTTATAAATGTCATTACTGAAATTGGAAAGCTCAGTGTCTACATGAAGAATATCATTATTTAGGATTAAAGTAATTGGGTTCTGTAATGTAGCAGTAACAGCTGAGATACATGAACTTGTTTCCCTCCCATTTTCAGTCTTTAAAGACATACACCCGGAGAGGGAGAGGAAGGTGTCTAAATCCTGGATGTTCATTTGTGTATGTCACCCGCCACAAACCACCCGCGTGCCCTGAATGTGGGAGCCACTTGGGGGGGAAATGGATACCTCCTGTAAGTGTAAAGCAATGTCTTCACAGAGTTGGGATGTTCAATCTTTATGTACAGTGGGGCAAAAAAGTATTTAGTCAGCCACCAATTGTGCAAGTTCTCCCACTTAAAAAGATGAAAGAGGCCTGTAATTTTCATCCTAGGTATACCTCAACTATGAGAGACNAGAAGACATTATCAAAGATGTTCTATTGAGAAGACGATCTCTACGTGACAAAAGTTTTCAAAACCGTTTCTAGTCTTCGGTATTTCCAGACAAGTGGCTACTGAAATCAATCTTACTAACTGCCGTCTGTGCAATTTACTCCGCGCGAGTTGGCGGACTTTATTTTGCTTACTTTAACATCATTTTTCATGGTGGGGCTAAGGTGGGGCTAAGCCATTTCTTGGTATGGCTGTAGCCTACCCCAGCCATACCCTGACGCCGCCACTGCCTTCAAGAATTTTCTCAGGAATGATTTGCTAATGTGCAAGGCAGGACTCAGTTTTATTTTTATTATTTTTAAGTAGATTTTGAGTCATTTGTCATCATCGAATGTCACAGGAATGAGGAGGTTAAGAAATTCTTGAAAGACAATTTCAAGAAGAAACACTACACTGCACTATATTATCAGATATAAGGCGTACAGTAAATATTACAGTACAGAAGATTCTTAAACATTCTCCTTTAATCTTCTATTCTTCCACATGTGTGTCCACTGGGTTTTGTATTCTCACTTCCCCATGATGATTACCTTTTGTACGTACTTTAAAATAGTATACAGAAACATTAAAGCATAAATAAGCTGGAAGATAAACACTTGCCTTTAACAACCAGTTCAAAATGGACTTTTCTCAGGGGGACCCCGTCGTGCTGAAAGATTTCCACATTGTACTCCCCTGAATCATTCCTCTCCACGTGTGTGATCTTCAGGGTCCCATTGTTGATGAAAAACTCCGTCCTGTTTTTTAAAGACTCATGTATTGTCACTCTTTCTTTCTTCAGATTGAACACAATTCTGGGCCCGGTGGGAAGCTGTCTCTTGCACCCCAGCCGATGGCCGCTTGCATTGTTCATCACTTGGATGGACACAGATCCTCCGAGGATAGCAGAGCACTGAGACATGTTCTGCGAGGCCTTACATTTAGTCTCAGCAGCTGGAAGGAAAGCTAGAAAAATGCATAATCAAATAAAACCAGATTAATAATTCACCTTTTACACAATATTATAATGTTTCTCTAAAAATGAGTATTTTACCATGCGATACTCCAGCTAACATCACAAGAAGAAGAATAGCAGGATCCATACTCATTTAGAAGATTACTGAACAGAGAATGATAAACCAATCTCTGTTAAAGCCACTGAAATCAAACCTCAGATTGTTTACAGACACTGGATGTAAAACAGCAGGCCTACAGGGGTGGCGGTTTGATGCCGGTTAAGAAGGCAGGAAATGAAGTTAACTGTTTCACTTCTCCTTGTAGACACAGGTCTCTCATATTACCCCACAAAAGCAGGTTGCAACAACAAGGCAGGGGTGTTGAACCGTCAAAAGGGAAAAAAAGGGCGTTTTCACAGAAATTACATAATAAGGTTTTTTGTATTTTTCAAAAAATATAACTGCCAAAACTTTAACTTCCTGTATATATTGTGTCCCATGTTTACAGTTTTAGTAGAATGTAGTCTTTATATCTAATCTAAATTCAAAAGATGTCATAAAGTCAGTTAAAGTATAACAACATTTTGACCAGTAGGCCTATGCAGTTTTTTGCATTTTCTTGTGTTGGACATTAGTGTGCCAATCGTAGGAAAAACATGCAACATGTGAAGAAATCCCATATGTGAAACTGAACCTCAGGTTTGCCTTAACACACTTTGACTGTGATGACAGTTTCAGCATGTGTTAACAACGTAGGCCATGTATTTCTTGATATGCTGGGGAAAACGGAAGTGAAAATTAAACCTACCTTCACATACAATACAGTGCAACATTACCATTTAACTTTTGGAGTCAAGAAATTCACGAAAGTATGCAACTTATGTCACAAGAGGTAGTCATCATTTATATTATGTTCACATTTCGCACCCTTTGGTAATGTTCGGGTCAAATTGACCCGGGACATACTGTATTTCAGGGTTTAAAAGAAATACAGAACTAAATTCAACATGCACAATTCCTTATATATATTGTCTTTAACTCATTAGTTTTTGAAAATACTCTTTGCTAGATTAAATTTAACAATGGAAGTGTCCATCTTTTTTTGTGATAAAAATGTAATTTATGTTAAAAAAAAAAATACACTGTAATAAAAACTAGGTTTACATTTTGCTCATGCTTTTCTGGGACAAATGTAAATGAAACATTTTTTCATTAATGTTTATTATTTTTAATCTCGATTAAAAATAATAAACATTAATGAAAAAATGTTTCATTTACATTTGTCCCAGAAAAGCATGAGCAAAATGTAAACCTAGTTTTTATTACAGTGTATTNGGTAAAGTAGTAAGACATTATAGGTGTCATGTGAGTGTGTGAGGGGGAGGGAGGGAGGTGGCGTGTAGGTGTGACTACTTGGTTTTTGTAAATATTTTTTTTTTTTTTACGAAGAGTTATATTCGGATTTGTTGTCTCGGTACTTTTTTGTACACTATAATGAAATAAAAAGACTTGTAAAAAAAAAAAAAAAGAACAACTGAAAATGATGATATGATACAATAAAACGTTATCAGAATACACTAAAATACATTTTCTCTGTTTAAGAAATGTAAGCATAGAGTTATACATGACATGTTATAGATGTCAAAGCACATACACACAGTTACGAGGATTTCACAGAACACATTATAATCTCTGGATAGAGATCTTTTTTAGCAGCACGCAGTTTAGCAATAGGATAGACTGAAGAGGTCCTTATCGGAGGGGGAAAGTACAGAATTGACCATACTAGCTGTATTGAAGTACATGAAAAAGGTTTGGATTTAACTCTAATTGAATCATTTTGGACAGGAGTAAATCAGGCTGAATTGTGTTGAATTCAGATGAAGAAGAGAAAGCATGTGTTTTCTGTTCGTCAAGGTGCATCTTCCATGCTGCGACCTTGCTCGCAGGCAAATTTAAAAGGATGTTACCTGTTCTTGTTTTAAGATGTTGGACCATAATAGTTTCCAATGATTTCATTATAACAGATGTGGTGCTATAACAAGATTCAATGTGCTCTTTTAGGCACAGTTTTTTGGGAGGGGTTCAATTTAAAGTCCTCCAAGGTATAACGATTTTGAGCAGAAAGATGAAAGATAGGTTGCCAGAAAGGGGCCGATCCCCTGGCAAAAGATTTTTAAAAGCAGTGCTTGACTCAGGGCCAAAGAAAGGTTGGACGGTATGAAGTGCGAGCAGCAAGAACGAGAGGTTAAGAGAGTGAGAACAAGAGCGAAAGAAGGATAGTAGATACAAGGGGGGAGAAAATAACTGGAAGGGAGAGTGGAAGGAATAATCAGGGCAGCTTGTTAACGCAGCATTGAGCATCAAACTCTACAGTGGTCTGAGACTTTTTGCTGTCCCCGACTTAAGTACTCCCGTCCCTCCAATATAGATGACCTGACATCTGTATTTCTAACTGTACATGTAGAAGAGAATGAACAGAACAAAGGAGGAGAAAATAAAAAGGCATACAACAGCAAAGTACAGACATGGAAGAACTCAATTGCAACTGATGAGAAACCCGGCTCTCTTAGACTCCAAGTCTGCAGGTGTGTGTGTAGGTGTGTGTGTGTGTGTGTGTGTGTGTGTGTGTGTGTGTGTGTGTGTGTGTGTGTGAATAATGTGCTGGCAACCTTATTATGGCATTATCCTGTTACAGTTCTCCAAAGTGGAAACATCTTGACTGAATCACAGCAGCCCCCCCCCCTCCAAAAAAACCAGAGCGCCAATCAAACGACGACTGAGATCCTGTCAATTGAAAGCGACAGTGGTGGTTTTGGCTCAGCCCCACTCTGCCTAAACCAGTCAAACCAAGCATTAAAGAAACTGACAAGAACTAAGGTGGAAGCAGGATTGTAGCTCTTAAAATGAGATTAAGTTTGAGATCAAGTTGACCATAAAGAAATAAATCTGTCAAATGTAGGAGTGTTTGATTGAACAAGGTTCGCATGGGAGAAAGAACAGGAAGAAATCAGAGGTACGATGTCCACCTATGTTTATTTGAGCATAAGTAAATAAATTATGAAAAAGTGTATTGCATTAAACCTTATACATCTGATTGTAGGGTTGATGGACATTTGGATAAAGCAAAGGCAAGCATGGCTTAAATAAGAAACGACTAATCACACGACTCATGGCTTTTGTTTCCCTTTATACTTCTCCGATATTGTATGAATACATGTAAAGAATCTGTCAATACCTCCACTGAATAACGCAAGGATGCTTTAAATGTCTCGTGCCCAGTGCACTGAGTCACTGGTGTTCATTTTGGCAGCCAGATGCAGGTTCTTTTGTTCAAAGTGAAGTTACTGTAGCAGTCTGCAGTGTTTGAGTTCCCTTCCATAAGCAAAGGTAGCCTCATACCCAGCACACATGGGCTGCACTTGCAGAAAACATCTAATCAGAGACAGGACTGTCAGGGTGCCTCAAGTGAGCACACATGTCTGCGTACGTATGCCAGAGTGTGTAAAAAAAACCTGAATGAAAAACAGGATTTTACTCGCACTAAAGACTTTTTATTCACTTTAAAGAAGAGCCCTGTTTAGCCTGTCTGCCCTCCGCCCCCTCAGCGTTCCCACAATACCACACCACTGAGAACAAATGTGACAACACTAAAGAGCCCAATACCACATGTCCAATCACAACCAGCAGGGGAAATTGGCATGGTGTGGATCTCATGGGGCAGGCCTTTTTTACACACTTGATGTGGATCGTATACGTGTAGGGTATCCAAACTATGTGAAGAGCACAGTTGCGCAAGATGAAAAATGATGGCTGCAAAGAGTAGAGACAGACAACAATAGTCTCATTCTGTGTCCCTCTGGGGAGAGGAGGAAAGATGGGATCAAGAAAGACGCTTTTCTCTTTCCACTTTTTCTTTCTATGCCTCCTGTACCGTGTGTGTGTTTCTACCACATGTACTTTTAGGCTACATGGCTATGTGATATGTATCTATTGCATGATGTGTTGGTATGCAAGTTTGCGTTTGTGTAAATAATCATATACCTGTTTATACTGGGCCCTGCGTTGAAACACTTTTGTTTGCTCTCTGTAACCAGGTTAGATGTCCACCTCGGGGTCTTTTGGTTTCGTGCTATATGGATCCAATAAGAATTCGACTAACTTCATTCAGCTCCAGCTCTAAGTCGAGTCCGGTATCAGCGCCTGGGGTCAGATATTGTTCTGGGCAGCGGAGGCAGAGTGTGTGTATGTGTGTGTGTGTGTGTGTGTGTGTGTGTGTGTGTGTGTGTGTGTGTGTGTGTGTGTGTGTGTGTGTGTGTGTGTGTGTGTGTGTGACCGGTGACTGACAGTGGGCAGACCTGTAAACACACCAACAAGGAGACAGACAGACAACCTCAGGTCCATTAAAGCCAGGTCATTTGATCCGCTTTTTTGTGAAGGGCCATTTGACCCCCTGAGCGAACAGATCAGGCCTGTCGTGCAAACCTCAACACCCCCCACCACCACCCCAGTTCTTTTGCTATTCCCCTCTGTTACCCCCTGCCCCTTAAAAGACCTAAAGCCCTGATCCTCATTCTTTACATATTCTTGTCTTATTCAGTAAAGTTCCACACATTGGATTTTAACTCGCTTTAGGGCGCCCTCTCTGTAAAGACATTTTCTAATTTTAAAATGACTAATTTCAACTAAGTAATAACTTATTAACTATTTAAAAAGCGGATAGACAGGAACACTTTTTTGATATCATCAATTATCTTATCTTCTGCCCATTTACCCCATCCGTCCTCCACTTCTGGTGTGACTGACTGCTGATGGAGCTCCAATTCCCAGAGGGAGGAGAGGGGATTCAGGCTGGGTAGGTCGGGGAGTTGCACTTCTGGCATCCTGTTTTGGACGCACTAAATAGGGTTTAAAGCTTACTGCAGGAGACATAATGGGGCTCTATTCTTGCTAAAAGGTCAAGAGGTTGTGGGCTAAGGATTATTACTGGACACAAGAGGCAGGAAAAACATCAGTGATGCTGGTGTAGCCTGAAGCAAACATCTAAAACTGAGCCTGAGATTCAGCTTAGTTCATTTAGATCCCCAAACCCTGTATTAATATCTAAAGATAATATCTCAGTTCTGCAGCTTGTGATTCGTCTCAACCGTCTGTCAGCGACAAAGACTATTTACAGGCATGGGTCTGGTTAAAGTGACAGGAGGGACCAACACAAGGCTAAAATAAATGTGAGCTGGCACAGCTGTCTTTGTGTTGCCACACACTGAGCTAAATATACACGACAATCATTCCAAGGCATCACAGACTGCGAGAGTGCACATTTCTCCCCCTTATCCTCACTTTTCTACTCTTCATCTCCCACCTACATCCCACCTGATGAGCAACACCACCTGTAATGGCTTCACTATTATCAAAGGTCACAAAATAAAACAAGCACAGCTGCTTTGCACTGTTTTTGCTTTGTCTCGTTCCTATTAGACAGGCAGACATGTGTACATTTACACAAAAAACACACGCACCCTGGCGGAGAGACCTTACTCTGAATGTCAGGTCTACTGTCATGTCGGGACACGGCCCAGGGGAAACCATATGAGGTAATCGTCAGTTTAGAGGGGCTAATGTTAATGAACATGGTCAAAGTGCAGGGGAGACACAGAAAAAAGACATATCATTACAGGCTAAAGACTGACCCCACTTTACTGAGGGCCTGCTGAGAGGGGAAGGGGGGGGAGAGGGGAGATGGAGAAAAGGCAGTAAAGTCCAGGAGGGGAGACACCACACAGAAGGAGAAACACGATCTTGGGCCTCCAGACATGAGGATATTGTTTTAAAAATAAAGAATAATGGATATAGAGATACACAAAATGGGGGTGGGGGAAGATGAAATGGAAGCAGGAAAGAGATGTAAGAAGGTAAAATATGGGGGACAGAGAGAAGAGGGAGAATGAGAGCAGCGAAGGGTTTGGAGGAATGTGAGAGAGGCGGAGAAAGGGGTCAACTCAGGAAGGCTTCCAGCTGCGCTCCCTCCACTCTGATCTTATCTGCCTGTTTGCTTGGGGTATACACAGAGCTTCCAACCCCCCCCACCCCTACCAATACACTGTCCTGTAGCCATCCCCTCTGTCCACTTCATACTCAGACAGGCAGAGAAGCCATGATGCCTTGTACTGACCTGCTTGGTCTACTAACACACAGAAAACACATGAACTTTCACATTCAGACATCCAGACATGCAGGGAGCAAGAATCCTGGACAGGAAAGATACACATCTTGGTTCTTATGCTCCACGTACCGTTGTCTGTCTTTCCGATTGAGGAGGAAACAGAGTTTAAAAGTTCATATGTAATTAGACCAAATACCATCAACTGATCTGTGCTGCTAATTCATTTGCGTGCCAGACAGACAAATTGTCAAGTCTGTCAAATTTGATTATCAAGTCTGCTACAAATAAACTAATATGACACAGCGTGTGAGTAGAATATGTCTGCATGCTAAAAAGGCTTAGAAAGATTCCTGTTTTCTAAAAGTGCTGGGTTAAAATGTTGTCCAGACGCCAGGTTTGGAAACCTATAAAACGGAAAGGTTACAGAAGATAGTGTGTGAACTAATAACCAGGTGTGTGTCAATTATGTCACACATAGGATCCATTACAGCTTCATAAACTAATGTCAGGGTTCAATATTGCATTTTAGTCCTTTGATGAAAGACTGAACCGTTATAAAAGTGAGTTTGGCACTCCGTTTATTAAGGATATTTCCTACAAGCAGTGCACAAATAGATAAGGACTACAGCACAGATGTCTAATAGTGTGCAAAGCAGAAGCCATGCAACACAACATATCATAGGATTGATCTGCAGTCAATGAGTTTGCAGTGTTAACACTTGAATCACTTGGTGCAACTAAACAACTAAGATAAATGAACAGATCCCATAAAAAGCTTATCATCATGCTTTGCAAACATAATCTTGATTATCGTTGCGAATTTAATCTGTCTGTTTTCCATGAGCTAATCCTACCAATTAAAACTACATTAAAGAAGTGCTTTGCGCTGGTGGTATGGCTGTTCCTCACAACAACATGTTTTATGATCAGCAGCTTGAATTTGGGTCTCCTCATTGGCCCGCTGTGTTATAAAACCAGTTCTCTATTTAAAGGCCAATTTGGGCGGTTATGGCTTTGTATACATTCTCTTTTGGGTTAATCCTTGTTTAAAAACAGCCCAACTCTTTGTTTAGAATGTAAAAGGAATCATATGGGACTCGAGGCAGAGGAGGCGGCTTGCCAAGCCGGTGTTGCAGTAATAGCAATAGCATATTTACCCATTGAGACGAGATATGGTTACATTTGAAATGATAGAAAGACAATGAAATAAATTGTAAAATTAGATTCAACGTGTCTACATTTATCTTAAATTCTTGCGTTTCCATCTATCAGAGTCACATTGTGCACTTTGGTTTCTCCGACAGTCGATTCCTGCCGCTGTCTTCCCTCTCCCTTCTCTCGCAACTTATCCCAGTCTTTGTCCTCGTTCCAATTCACACAATCAGAACCACATGGACGC